GTAACATTATGACGCCCCACGGCAGAAAGGACGAGCACGTTTATTGGGACGGGGATTCGAACCCGCAGATTGCGTAGTCGAGCACCCTAACCACCTGGCCGTGCATGAATTAACATATAGTTCAACTATTTGTATAATTAACCAAAATTCTGAATAAAAAACGTGTTAAATGATTTTTACTTGACACACGTATTTATTATATAAATCAATTTAGGGTTATAATTAAAAATTACAACACGAAACACCCTTTGTTATTTTCCTCCCGATATTATAGCGCCATCTTTGAACTGGATCTGTTACCAACAGAACAAAGAGGTATGTTACACATTATTAATAGCTGATTAGTTCCCAAAACAATCACGCTACACATAGGAATTTATTATTTAAAAAAATCAATTCTTATATAAAAATAAGCATCAATGGTGTCAGTAAAAACTTTGTCATATTAGTTTTAAATAATATAAACCATGTCCTTATTTTATCTCTCTGTAAGGTGTTTATAAAACACTGTTCGATTAATAGGCATTAACAATCAGCTAATTAAAAAAAAACAACAGAGTAATCATAAAGTAAAAAAATCCCAAAATATAACAGCGCCACCTATTAACATTTTTTCCTATAATTAAATTTCTTAGTCTATGGTATGCTCCCATTTTTACCTACAATTACATTAAGAAGTTTTTCCTACCTTCTCTTGGCCATATTTAAACGGAGTAAATAGCTTTACCAAATCTTCTGTTTAAAACCTGACTGCCAATCCAGCAGAAAATTATTAAATCAATTACTCAGATTAAAATATTATGTTAATAAAATAAAACAAGCAGAAAAAAAAACATTACCGTGATTTTAAAGGAAGAACAACCTTTGGTGACAGATACATTTATTTTCTGATAATTTATTCTCAGTCACTTTATTGTGGATTAAGGTTTTTATTTAGTACTCTTTTAAAGTCTTCATTCGATATCTACAAATTTCTATTAAGAACAAAGTAAAAAGAAAATTAAATATCTCTTTAAGAAACAGCAGAAAATTGGTATGAAAAAAGTATGAACAAACTTGAAAGAATAATAAACCAACAAGATCAGTAAATAAATAGCAGTTTTACATGCAAAGATTATTTGTTTATAATTAAGCACAAAGCTACACAATGGGCTAACTGTGCTCTGCCCACCACACGTATCGAAACCCGGTTTCTAGTGTGGTAAGTCCGAAGACATACCGGTGTGACACTTGGGGGGGGGGGCATATTTAATAAAATTTGTTTGTTTGAAGTTAAGCACAAAGCTACAAAATGGGCTGTCTGTACTCTGCCCACTGCACGTATCGCAACTCGGATTCTAGTGTGGTAAGTCCGCAGACATACCGGTGTGTTACTGAGGGGGGTAGCAGAGATTGACTGGGATACCAGAATAACTATATTTGATTTTTTTGAGAAAAATCCTCTTTTATATATTCACACATTCAAGATTTACATGAACAAGTTTTTGAAATTATAAACTAAACAAGTATAACGTGGAAAAAGGCTTAGCGATGCTAGTGGATGCCCCAAGCTTCTTCAAATCCTGTACACAATTTTGAGCAGGTCAGAGCAGCTGATAGTGGGTATTCACTGATGGCAATTGTGTCTTCTGTATAATCAACATCAACCTAAGATAAAAACAAAATTTATGAACCAATTGAAAACTCTGCAATTTCCGAGAAAATTGACAAAATTCTTATCTGAATATCTTATAGATTACCTACTTTTTAGTTTACGTATTACTAGTAAAATACGGGATATGTAATATTAGAAAAACCTTATCTAGCTTTTATTAGATATCTCTGTCGATTGTGGAGTATGGTAAATATACATTTAAAAAATTCTACAAAATGTTCCAGAAGCTCAAGAACCCTTCAAGATTGGTCTCTCAATTATCAGATTTGGATAGTTTGATACATTTGTACAAAGTTTAAAATCATTTGTAAACATCTTCTGTAAAACAAAAGATACCATTTTAACTATATCAAGTTTCGTACGGTTAAAACCGAGAAAACTTTTAGGATGACTGACAATTATTTTGAATTCCCACATTGGCAGTTAAAGGAATTTTATTATTAAAAAGTACAATAATTAATCCCACTTTAAAAGAACAATGAGCCAGGTCACGTGCTGTCCTTTGACCTATTTACTTTTTTTGTCCATTGTGCAATGAGTCATGAACACGACCATGTACATCTGTCTGAAACCACAGTTTCCATTGTAACAAACACTTGTGAAAGAAGGCAAAGTCACTGTTATACGACACATTTTGATAACCTTCCTACAGAAAATCCAATGAAATGTACATAGACTTCATGATTACATTTTAGTAGGTTAAGCTCACAAAAGTCTACTAGAACAGTAAGAGAAGACTTGTCAGTTATACGTCTGAAAGGGATTACTGCTTCTATAGTCCTATAAATACTGTCACTGAATTCAGGTGTGCTTGAAAGTTTGTGAGCTTCGGCCAATTCAGATTTCTATTATCTTGTTACCAGCACCAGGAGATATGTCCAGTTTTATCATAATGGCTTCTAGACAAAGAGGTTTTTTTTAGTAACATAGCCTTCACTTTGTTGCTATTCTGAATGTAGACCAAGAGGTTTTTTTAGTAACATAGCCTTCACTTTGCGAGCCTGTTGCTGTTCTAAATGTAGACCAAAATATACCATGACTTATGGAACAACGGTGAGATAAGGCACTTGGAATGTTGTAGATGGGTGCCTCACATGCCCCATTTGTAAGAAACCTTGGTTGTTCAAGAATGACCATTAAAAGATTGTCGGGGTAATTCAGGCAGACAACAGACAGGCATCTTGCAACCATGTCTCAAGAGAATTGCTATTGATGCACACAGCACTGGTTCCTAACTGTGATGTCAGAGGTAGAAAATTCACCAGGTCGACATACTGTAACCAGGAGCTGCAGGTATCTGAACCTACAGGTAGTACGGATGGACAACACTGACCCATAAGATCATCTTAGCAGACTTAGGTGGGCAAGAAATATTTTAAGATGGTGCATCCATGACTGGCATAGAGTTCTATTTCCAGACAAAAGTAAACTCTCTTGAAATAGAACTGATGGCATAGTACATGTATATTATTGCAGAGGGGAGTGAACTGCCCAGTGATGTGTCTTGGAGACAAAACCATTTGAGGGAGGAATTTAGAGTGACCAGAGGATCCTGCTTATTGTAGTTAAAGGTAATCTCATTGGTCAGCATTACAGAGATGATATTTTACAACCTGTTGTTGTTCTGCCCTTCATCCATCAACAACCCCACAATTGTTTTTTCAGTATGACAGCCCACACTTTACTCGACAAAGGAAATACAATGGTTCATCCAAGACAGCCACATTGATTTATGCCATGTCCCCAGTAGAATGCTTCTAGAATCATCTTAACAAAAGAATAGTGTGGCAATTTTAAAACCCACCGACAAACAGAAAAAGAGCCGAGGCAAAACAAGTTTGTGACAAAGCCATCGATCGGCTAACTGGCTCCACAAGGGCTTGTGCGTATTAGCATGCATTAATATACAGGATGGTCACTCATGATATTAGCCTCATGGTGAAAACACAGACTTCTGTGGGAGTACACATCTGTGCCATTTGTGAATCTGATCCCATATGAGATTGACAGTAATTGTTTCAATTTGTAAGCCATTCACAGATGTGATTTCCTAACAATACACTGACCACTGATTTTTCATTTAAATATAATTTGTTTGAAATCATCTTCTTGTTTAGTTTTAAAAACACAACAACTTTGTTTACTTTCTTTTGTGTGTCAGTATATCTCACATGTGCTGACATTTCCAGCAAACAACACCACTGCATTAGTATGTGCATGTCATTCTTACTAAGTACAATCATCTCTCTGCAATATATCTACAATCTAGTCTTATCTAGACTGTGTTAAGTTACATAAACTTCTCTACATGCTTCTTCATCCTTTCCTTTCTCCCATAGATCAGATTCAGACGTTGAACAGTGAGGTGATAGAAAATCGGTAAAACCAATCTCAACATCTTGGTAGTCTCCAAGCAGAATGGTATAAAAATTACTGAGATTAAACCTCGATTACGAAAAAAAATAAAAAATTATACACTTATATATATAATGAAATAAATAGCTTCAATACTATTATTTACATTAATTGTTGATAGGCTATTAAAATCAGCACTATAAAACAATAATGAACTTATTATAAAATAAACATTAAGAAGTTTTTTTTTGCAAAATCCATTGTAAATCGCAGTCGTAGCCTTAAAGTCACAACGTATATTGTCTGTAGTAATAGCTCCCAAATGCATTGGGGAATATCCCATGTTTCAAACAAAATCCAAACGCCGATATTAAACTAGCCAGTAATCACGGAAAATCAATTAAGATTATGGAGTTGAGCGCTTACACCTACAACGTCTCAACTCTTACTGCCCCGATGGAATTATAAGAACTTTTAAGGGTAACTGCCTTCCCACAACTGGCTGTAGAGAATATGGAATCAAATGATAATCCCAAGGATTAATATGAAAACAAAATAATGCAAAATATAGGTATTTATATAACTAGAAAAATATAATTAATGATCATTTTTAAAAATCACCACAATAGTTAACTTGGCTGAAAGGAGTTGAAACATTCCGCTATAGCGTACCTATTAAACCAAACTCCAATATCTGTGTATTGCATACATTAACAAAAAAAAATATACAACTTTCCAGGGGAATAGCAACAAGTTCAGAATACTTGCAGTTCATATATTTACAGCTTGAATATGAATTACAAGTTTTAATTTTCAATTAGGGATTTAGTAGGTGGCAAGCACCTAAATATTTACTTAGTGACTCAAAAACATACACAAATTTATTCTAACATTTAAACTGAAAATAAAGGGGAAAAAAGTTGCCGATATTTAAAAATATACTGAACCCTTGAATTAGGTAAGACAAATGTTAAAAGAAAAAATTATCAACTTGAATAAAGTAACTTAACCAGTGAAAAACTTCTAGTATGTGTGAAAATATCTATCACAACTATTGCTGCTAGTTTAATGAAAACTTCTAAACTTGTATACAATGTTTTAACGAGGTTTGATCCAAGTTATTTAGAGTTTATGTCTCCTAATTAGAAGAAAACAGAACTATTAACTGACATTACAGACATTAACCAGGCAGTGTATTTTCCTCTTTAATTTGTGTATCGGTTCAATTTATTACACGGCAAATAAATAAAATGAATTAACCAACATCCTCGTGAAAAATTTAAAATGGTAAATATTTTTAAATATGGTTCTTTAAACACCCGATAATTACATTTATGTACTTTGAAAACTGTTTGACAAACGCAAAAATAAAATACTTACTGATCCATGGGCCATCGCTCCAACAACTATGACAACAGGTTCACTAGGTGGAGCTAGTTCTCTTGGATTTACAAGCTTATTGGCATGATATGAAGTTACTAGTTTCTTGCATCCTACAGGCAAATGTTGTGTTATAGGGTTTTTAATAACCTAAAAGAAGTAAATAAGAAACTGAATGTTTAAGTGTAAACTACAGGGAGACAAAATATGGAGTGTTAGCTGCGATAAAGTAACTGTCATTAAAGTAGCTAATATCAGTACACCTCTTGACAGTTAAAAAGAAAAATCTGGCAAAAACATGTTAGTGCATATGTGAAATCTGATAACATCTATTAAGAGGTTAGGTTAGTGAACACAGATTCTTCCACAAAGCAGGACTTATTGTTACTTTTGACAAAATTCTATATCTAGTCCGAAAACAAGCTCCTTTTGTTATAACTTGAAAATATCTCTGGGCCCCCACTTTAGCTGTTAAATTTTCAAGATTTGTGAACCAACCAGATTTTAGTGAAAGCAGGCCAGTATACTAAAAAACCCGGCCTAACTTCACAATATATTACTGGGATTATGACCAAAAGTATCACTAAAAATGAAGGTTTCCAACTGAATAATACATTCTTTAGTGATTTTTCATTCTATACTTTTAAGGTACTCGTTTTAGTCAAAGTAAATGATAAGTATTTCACCTCAAAAACATTACTGCTTAACAAAGACATCTATTCAGCTGCACCTCAATAGAGACATCTATTCAGCTGCACCTCAATAGAGTGAGGTACCATTACATTACTGCTTAACAAAGACATCTATTCAGCTGCACCTCAATAGAGAGGGGTACCATTTAATAACTGAAGAATTCATGTTCCATTTTAACACGGGAATTGAAAATGATTAACTGTATACATACAGTAATAAGAATATGTATATGTTTATTATATATATATATATATATATAATAACTCCTACAGGAATAACTGGTAAACTATTTATTACTAGAGAATCAAAACACTTTAGCTTACTTTGAGTAGCTTTTGAGGCCCATCAGCCGCATGAATGCTCAGTTTGTGTAGAAGTTGTACTAAAAAGAAAAACCAACATATTCAAAAACTATTAAGTTTGATATTTGCTAAGGACCTTTCCAGCACGTTAATTATGAATTTTTTGTAGATTTCAGAATGGTGTGAAGGTATTAATTACCTAGCTTTAAATATTATAATCAGTGAATAATAATGAAAAGTTCTTATAAATTTTATATTAAAAATGTAACCAGAAAAACTTCATAAAAGCTGATCGAGAGGATCTTATGCACCTAACCACCCAGCATATAAAATTACCAAGTTAAAAAAGGTTTAACCAGAAACTATACATATTAAATAAAATCAATCATGTAAGGTCAAATGATCATTAAACATATACCACAATCATATTTTGCACCTATAAAACATATTTATTACTTACAATAACTCAATCCACCATTAACTATACTACATACTCAGAATTTAAATGCTTTACATGTATTATGTATTTAGCATTAAGTGCTCGGACATTAACTAACATACACGCTTAGAAAGTTGTTTTTTATGATGTATTAATGATGGTGTTCAACCAGTTGCACTGGTCAGGAAGAAAGTAGAAATCCTATTTTTCTTTTCTTAGAAAGTCTGTTTATTATAAAAATAAATGACGTTCTCAAATAATTAGTCAAGATTTCATTCCTAAGGCTGTACACGAGAAAGGATTTTGTTGTAAGGATCGTCACGTAAAACAGTAACAAACTGAAACAGTAAGTTGAAAAAAAAGAAAATAGAATAAGATGGCTGATAGCTTTGCGTTTACCTCGTATATCTAAATAACAGTGTAGCTTTAACTTAATATATTGCTTATCTATTAGAATTTATTAGAATTGAGAAAGGATTTTGTTGTAAGGACCGTCACGTAAAACAGTAACAAACTGAAACAGTAAGTTGAAAAAAAAAGAATAAGATGGTTGATAGCTTTGCGTTTACCTCGTATATCTAAATAACAGTGTAGCTTTAACTTAATATATTGCTTATCTATTAGAATCTACAATTATTACCAGATTTACTTAGCGTAAGAATGCTTTAATGGGAAAAGTTAGTGTAAATTGTTATTCTTTATGTTGATTGTTAAATAACTTTCTTATTTGTTTGTTAGAAATTACTAAAGAAGTAATAACAGTCTAACAATACGCAATTCCATTAAGTCGTTAACCTATTTACACAAGAAAGTATAGACCTAGCTATATAGGAAGCACTGAAAACGGAAACCAAAAGACAATCGTTACATGCATTTAAACGATGTCTAGTACAGTAAGCTTTAAGTTGTCTGATTCATTGACTTCTCACCAAACACGTACGCTTCTACGATTTCTTCCAGGCTGCACTATAAAAGGCAAACTTATTAATCATTTTAATGTGTACTTTCTAAACTTCCATCCGTTTGAACAGCTTTTCACTTAAAACCTTATGATGTTTTTAGACATATAAAGTTAATTATTTTCAAGTTTCACATTTGTGATACAATTAGAAGAAAAAAAGTTTATAATCGAAGATTTGTTTTTTCCTATCGCTATCATCATAATATAGCTTATATTTCTCACCTTATGAATCATTTTAACCTGTGTAAATATCTTATCTAATATCATCATCAGTTGTCTTGCCAAATAATAAACATAGTACTTTGTTTTTCTAAGATCGGCACACATTTTTGTTTTCAGTTGATTATATATATTGTCTATCACATACTTTGACAAGAATTTTCACTAGTTTTATCCAATGAAACTTAAGAACAATTATCATTAGCAAAGGGGAGAAACCCAAAGAATGGTATTAATATTTTCAACTCTTGTTACAGGTTTCATTCAATATTGCATATATGAGACATTTTTCTGTAGAACAGGTTAGGATTCAAAGAGTAACTTAATCCTATTAAACTGTCGCACCTCAAGATGTCTATGATATCAAATGAAAAGTAGTTAGGAAATGCTAAAAATAGGTAGATTACTCTCATTTGAGAATAATCTATTAGTTGAATGATGATTATCTGATTAGAAACTTGCACTCATCGTCAGCTCTGTACAAGACAAGCTTAGAGGTTCGAAATGTTAACTCAACTTTAGAGTTCCAACAGTGCCAATGCTTACTTTTTCTATTGATTTCTTTCTCAACATACAAAGTTGGATAAAAGAGTTTTTACAGAATGCAAATTATACTACATGTACAACATCATAAGAGTAATGTGACTAAAACCGCAACCTGTGAATGCAAATTATACTACATGTACAACATTATAAGAGTAATGTGACTAAAATCGCAACCTGTGAATGCAAATTATACTACATGTACAACATCATAAGAGTAATGTGACTAAAACCACAACCTGTGAATGCAAATTATACTACATGTACAACATCATAAGAGTAATATGACTAAAACCGCAACCTGTTACTGTACGTTTTTTTGTATGACAACAATATTGATGAAATGTACCCAAAGACCTCCTTACGATTCACAGAGACTTGAATATACTGATGGAACTCCTCCATTATTCCCAAATAATTCTACAGCTACTGCAAGGGGGTCTTTACCTTAAAAAACCTGTTAGGATACTCGCTTGTGATACCTAATCACGTTTGCCAAGTTTGATCCTGCTAAGTTGTGTATTGGTATGTACAATTTCAAACACGGCATCCGACGTTGTGGTCGGGTTCAGTGACCTTAAACATCTATTCTTAGACTCCTAAGATGATCTTCTAGGAGCTTCTAGACCCCCTTCCCTGTAGGGAACCATACCATATATATATATATATATATATAAGGATCTCTCTACCCCAGCCTACCCAAAGTCTGCCAGCCAAGTTTGGTCCTGTGAGCTCCAGAATTATGGGAGGATTTAGATGGACATAGATACAAAGCTACAAGCTGATATAAAATAGGACGTGCTAACACTTCCACAAATCACTGATGGTTGTGAGAGAGAGGATTCACCACATGGGCATGAATAAAACCATTATCAATAAGAACATACCAACGAACGTAAAGAATGGTGTACAGTAATATTTGAACCAATTTATATCACATGCTGACTTTTTAATTGCCAACAAAGCCTTTTGCCTGACACCAGGGCTCTTTAAGCCAGCTGGAATATGACAGTCATACTAGTGGTGTGCCAATTATATTAGCGAACAGCCATCACAGAGTGATTAACATGGTGAAGTGTAAATTTTTATCAATTACATTTATGTCACAGCTTATCAGAAAGAGAGTAAGAACTTTTTAAAGCAATACTATTTATTTAACAACATTAATTATTAATCATTATTTTCTTGAATTAACTTGCTCATTACTTGAAAGAACTGGCAAACCAGCAAGCCAGTCTTCATCGTTTTCGTCTCTTGAGCGGGTAATGTTTGGGACAGAATCCACCTTGTAGTGTGTATTTTTCCCTTCTTAGTTATAATGGTTATCTTTGTCCACTTAAGAATGTGGTGAAGTAAAAATTATGGTTTACATAGCTAACCTAACAGTTTGTCTTTGTTTGGTATGCTCTGACGCAGGGTGCTGGGTAATCAATTCATCCAAGCCATTTCCGAAGAACAGTTTCTTCAACCTGAACGTAAACCTACACTACACTATTGTCACAAATTTAAGCTTCCTTTCTACCTCGGAAAGTCTAGCCATCATCAAAAGTTTAGGTCTTAATATTGAAAATTAACGTTTTCTTATACTGAAAACGTATATCTGATAGGTACTTACCTCCTCTCACCCGAAAGCTATCCCGATCTTGATTTGTCCTCTAAACATTACTAAAAAATTTTTTTTGCGTAGCACACCACTCTTTTATACCCCATCAGTTTCACACCTTTTCAGAACATGTGCTGATCATGTGACTACCTTTCACCAATCCTACTGCTCCATTTATACTACCACAGCTAGCTCCCTCTAGTATCCTAGCACAATCTTCACTTTTGAGAACTGGCATGTACAATCCAGAAACACCAGCAAATCAGTGGGGAGGAAGGGTAAAGTGGGTAAAGTACCTATCAGAAATACATTTTCAATATAACAAAATGTTAACTTCTGAAATGGTCTTACCTCCTCTCACCTAAAATCCCACAAAACAAGGTGGAGGAGCCGGTGAAAGTGCAACGAAACAAAATCAAGCAGAAAGCAACGACACTGAAATAACGGGTGTTTGAGAGTATGAATAGAAGGGACACCTGTGGGGTATAGCATTACTGGAACAAGTATGCTCTTTGCCCAGTAAAGAAAACAGTAACACAAAGAGGGTGGAACAGAATAGGCCGGCACCTATTTGCATTCAGGCAAGAGGCGTACAGCACCAGATCAGTAGAGAAGTGCTGTGGAACATGATGTGAACATGTACATACATCATGACGTATGCAAACTTGAAAAATCTAGTGTGGAAGTGATAACGGCTCATATAAGTAAGCGCTAAGGGTAAGTCCTCGGGTTACATTGGATTATGTCAAGTGCAGTCCATCCAGGCAAAACATCTAGAGGAAATGCCTTGTATGGAATATTGTGATCAACAAGTGTGGCAAAAAACCTCTAGGGGAAGTGCCTTTGATATGTAGGAGTGTTATGAAGAAAAAAAAATATATATATAGGTATGAGTGTGATCAGGAGGACTGTTACAACCAGTCTGTTGTCAACTGACATGCATACCAATATCATTTATGTAGCAAGCCATAGTACCAAACGTGCCAGCATGGTTAGGACTAAAGGACTGTGAAGTATACGAGTAGACCAAGTTCGATTCGCCCGGGCAGAAGACATAAAGGGGAAGAGCCTTAGAGTACGACGGATTATGTCAAGTGCAGTCCATCCAGGCAAAAACATCCAGTTTGAAATCAACAAGTGTGGTTTGCCCAGGCAGAAAACATCCAGGGGAAGCGTCTTGGATATAAAATATTATGGCCAATGTGGTCTGCCCAGGCAAAAGCATCATGGGAGAAGTGCCTTGGATATATATATGATTAGGTCAAGTGCAGTCCACCTGGGCAAAAAACGCCCAGGGGAAGTGCCTTGCATATGTATTTCATGACCAACAAGTGTGGTCAGCCTGGGCAAAA